TTCTGCGCTTCCGAGGTGCCCTCCACCAGCTCCTGGGAGAGGTGTCCGGCCCCAGCTGGTTGTACAGCTCCAGTCTGTAGCTGTGCAGCGGGCACAGAAGCAGGGTTTGCAATCTGAGTCACAAGGGAGATGCTCTCACTGCTCTCAGAGGGGCTCCCCTCTGCTGGGGCCGGCTCCGGAGGGAGGACGGCCCAGCTCTCCTCTGAGGGTCCCTTGTGAGCAGTGGGGTGCCTTCCCTCCGGGGCTGCAGGGGCACATTCTTTCTCTGCTGCTTCTGGCAATGTGACGTTTGCACAAGGCAGGGGTGACATCCCCAAGAACTCCTCTGTAGGAAGGCAGAAGAGAAGCGAGAGATGTTTCAGCAGGTGACTGGCAGCGGGGTGGCTGCAGTGGGGCTGGGAGATGAACCTGGGGGAGTGAGGAGGAGCCACCACCCTCTCTAACTGCTGAGGTCTGCACCAGCCCTCCCGCAGACCCCCAACCATCCGACCCACCTTCATCCTCTTCCCAGCTCGGCTCCTCTCGGTGAATGCTCTGCTCCGCCCGCTGCTTCAGAGCCTCCCTCCGGGCTTCATCCTGCAGGGATTCAGTGTCAGCAGCTCCCATCCCAGCCCTTCCCTCCCCATCAGTGACAAGGGCGCAGACACAGCAGCCCAGACCCCTGCTCCTCCAGGAAAAGCATCTTTGGTCTGCATCAGAGGGCTCCTTGGCTGGAGAGCCCACCCCTGGGGGACAACCCCATCCCCCCCTACCTGCTCCAGGCGATGCACTTTGTAGAAGTAGCGCTGCCAGAATTCCGAATGGGAAACAGCCGCAGGGACCTGGGAATGACACAGGAAACGGGATGAGTCACTTCAGAGGGAGGGCCAAGCTCCTCTCTCTTCCCCAGCCTTACAGCCACCCTTTAACCTGTGCAAGGCACCTGTGTTCTCAGGGGTGCAGGCCTGGGAGATGCTCCAACACACTGGATAGCTACAGAGGAACTTCTGTTCCAGGCCCATGACAAACAATCAGGGAAGAAGAATCCTCATCTCCATGTGCCACTTCAGTCTTTTCTACCACCAGCTCCAGAGCCCAGCAGCTCAGGGCTTCCCTGCACCATACCCCAAGAGAGAAGCCAGGCAGGGCCCATACCATTTTGGTGTAGAGAGCCCGGATGGACGGGCTGGTTGCCAGCAGCTCCGCGATCTCCCCTTTTTTCTCCTCCAGGTTAAACTGAGAGAGCCAGGCCTCAAGGAGCTCAGCAGGGCCTGGAAAGGGCAAGCACACATACCAGACCTTAGCACAAACAAGGCAGGAACAGCTTTGGGAAGTTTCACTGGGAAGATGCTACAGACCAGGCTAGATGGGGTGAGCAAGGGAAAAAGGGAGGAGGGAGAGGTGGGTCTCTGAGCCCACCCGTTGCAGTGGCCCAGCAAACTCTCAGTCTAAGCTAGTCCCCAGTGCAACAGACAGCTCTGCTCTCCATAAGCAGTGTCCCCTGTCAAGGCAGCAGGCCCCTGAGGAAGGCTCTGAGCAGCCCTGGCATACCGTCAGGTTCGTTGCAGTAGGTGGCTGGGTCTGACTGGAGGCTGTAGAGGCGAGCCTGGAGGAGAAGAGGCACAGGGCAGAGCTGTCAGCAATGCTGGGGTGGTGGATGAGCCCCCAGAGGACAAGGTTTGGGACTCTACATCCCACAGCGAAGCTCTGGGAATGGGGCGCTCACCTTGGCACTGTCATAGGGCTCAGTGGTGCCCGAGGGGGTCGCCATCAATGTTATGACATCGCAGTCAATGGTCTTATCCGGTGAGGGAGCGAATGTGTTCGAGATGACACCCAGGAAGTCAGAGATCCCCTTCCTCACCTTTTCGGTTGTACCTGAGGAACCTTCTGTCCTCTTGAAGAGAAAAGGCAGCACAGTGTAAGTATATAGAACCACAGACTGGTTTGGGTTGGAAAGGACCTTAAGATCACCCAGGTCCAACCCCCGTCACAGGAGGGATGCCTCACACTAGACCATGTCCAACCTGGCCTTGAACACTGCCAGGGATGGGGCAGCCACAGCTTCTCTGGGCACCCTGTGCCAGCACCTCAGCACCCGCACAGGGAAGAGCTTCTTCCTTAGATCTAACCTGAACTTCCCGTTTCAGTTTGAAGCCATCACCCCTTGTCCTATCACTCCAGTCCCTGATGAAAAATCCCTCTCCAGCATCCTTGTAGCCCCCTTCAGACCCTGGAAGCTGCTCTGAGGTCTCCACGCAGCTTCTCTTCTCCAGGCTGAACAGCCCCAATGTTCTCAGCCTGTCTCCATACAGGACCATCCTGACCATCCTCATCACAGTGCCTGCAGCAGCAGGACAAGTCTTGCTCTTTCCTGGGTAGGTTCCTTTAAGGTAGAAGGGTGTTCTTTCTGTCAAAAACATGCTAACAAGGTGACTCGTGGCCAGGGCTGGGCTAGAGGGTATTGTAGGGCAGGGAGGCCTTGGGTAGGTTTGTGGGCAACCAAGCCTAGGCTTTGCAGGAAGGATCAGCCAGGTTTGGGGACTGGATTGTCACTGTGGCAGCTCTGCAGGGCTATGGTCACCAACTTGTGTGGAGGTCTGTTGTTGTACTACTGCTGCTACCCTGCTTACATGGTGCACAGAGAAAGGGAAAGCAGAAGGAACCTTCCTCTGCTCATCTCCAGGTGTCCCTCACCATGACAACAAGGACATCCCACACAGTGCTCAGCACCAATCCTGCCCCAGGGAGAACATCTGAAACTTGAAGCTCGTGGCAATATGGTGGGATGTGCTCAGAGGCCTGTGACCTTGGAGGAGGGTACATCCCATTGCCCCCCACTTTGCTTTCTGCAACAGGAATCCCAGCTCTTACACCTCTACTCACTGCCAGCTTGTCCTTGACCACACTGGCCGTGGCAGCGATCGTGCAGGCTGTGTCATGCTGCACCACGTGAGTGAACTCAGCCAGGTCCCGCTTCATGAATTCCAAAGCTTCCGTGGACTGCAAGAAGACAACAGATAAGATTGTGTGACCCTTCTGCTCTGCAGCAAAGCCACGCTCGCCCTGGGAACACCAGTCACGTTACAGACATTAAAGTGCCTTTAGCCCAGCGGAGCCCTTACCCCAACACGTGCAATAACCTGAGGAACAACAGGAACCTGCCCATCCAACACGTCATGGGGGGGGTTAAATCGAGAATGGAAAGGGCCGGTGAGGAAGAGCTTTGTTCTGAGCTTTGTGTATAATTAACATAAGCGCTGCTGTCACAGGCAGGAAATTATAGAGTCACAGCCTGGTTTGGGCTGAAGGGGCCATAAAGCTCCTCCAGCTCCAACCCCTGCC